AACGCGGAGGACGGAAGAAAGAAAATGAACACGCAAGGTGTTCATCAAAAGCGTTTTCAAGGGCGTGATTTTGACTAAATTACGTAGCTTTGTTTCCAATGAGCGAACAATTAAGTGAGAAAACGGCTTCAAAGGCTGAGTGCGGTTAAATTCTGCTTTAATGACTGCATGATTAGAGAGGTTTACTACCCACTTCCAGCACCTGGGGGGAATTAAAGATTGAGAGAAAGAAAAAAACACTTGATTGTGGAGGAGACGAGAAGTCAGCAGGGGAAGAGTTCTGATACCGAGCAGGTGTGCGTGTGTGTGCGCGTTTAAGTGTGCCGGCAGACGTGCAGCGAATGCGAAAAAGAGAGTGAGAGGGCACGCTTCATTCATGCCCATTCATACTTCCATTTGCATAATCAGTCTCTCGCTACACGTTGGGAGTGGCGGTCCTGAAATGCGGCTGTCGCAACTCTCCCTTCCCGTCACTGAGCTGCGGTTTTCCTGCACTGGCGGCAAGAACGCGCCGTCTGCCAAAACTCTCTAAATAACCCCTGATAAAACGCCTCCACATTTAACAGGAAACTCAGAGGGGGAAATCAAATGCATGACTAAGTGGGAAATGCTCATGATATGGGCTTTCTCGTGCTTACTGCTCTAAAAAATGAAAATGCCAACTATTTTGTCAAGTAAATTTGTCAATGTGAATACGCTGTGAAAAGACAATCATAATAGGGCTATAAATTAAAGATTCATTTAGAACAAATAAGTAGCAATATAAATGAACATCTAGCACATATTTACACTGACCAACAATTTAAAAATAGTGGAGATGTAGGCTAATGCAAAAACGCATCCTGTGTGAAGTCTATCTCAGACGGATAGACAAAGTTGATTGTAAAATAGATTTTTGTGGTCTGTATGTCAACGATAGTCTTGTGTTCAATATAACGGAAATAAAACAAGCAACATATTGACTCTAAAGCCATTTTCATCTGCCATATTAACTTAAAAGTGATCTTCATTTGGGAGTTTCCTCATCAAATATTGATTATTTGTGATTCATTTGATTTATTCATCAGCGCATCATGTAATAATTCATTTTTAATCAACTGAAAACTCAAATGCCGAGTCTATTTAAAGGCATTTGCTCACTTGTTTACAAAGTCTTCAGCTATTTCGTCCTTAATCCACCCAATCATTCAGGGCCACTCCTGACAATTACGTCCAGACATTTTTTATCAGTATATACTGTAAGTAGACTAATCATGATAGCTCATGAAGCCAACTCAACACCTAAGCTTACACTTTGAACCTGTATACTACAGATCAGCAAACTCAAGCCTTGTTTAACAAGCAGCCAAACTCGTTTGAACCCTCTGAACGAGATCTCAGACAAGTGTAACAGTATGACAGAACTTATGTATAACAGACAGGTCATATGACGTTGCTAAAAAGAACATTATGTTGTGTATTTGGTGTAATGCAATGTGTTTATGCGGTTTAAGGTTAAAAAAAAACACATTATTTTCCATATAATGTAGATTATTGTTTCTCCTCTATGCCCCGCCTTTCTGAAACGCGTCGATTTTTACAAAGCTACGCTTAATTATGAGTGTGTGCCTGAGCGAGGGACACAGAACATCCTGTCTTTCTGCATCTTCCGGCTGCTGACTGAAAGCACCAGACAGACAAGCACTCACAAACACTTACACACACACACACACACACATATATATATGTCGAGGGAGGTTGAGTAACTACACAGTCTGTGACCTTCCCTCAGCAAGCAGCAGAGAAAGAGGAAGTTCCTTCACCCCACCCAGAGACAGGGAGAGTGAGAGAGAGACCGTCAGACTACTTTTCACAGATGAGGAACAGTAAGATCTGTAAATAACTCAGCAAAAAACAAAACAGCTCTGTCACAATCACACAGAATATGCATCCAGACAGCAACACACAGTATATAAACGCAAAACAAACTGTTATGTCTACATCACTTGCATGTGGAATCCTTAGGCCAGATACATGCTTGTTATGCAAGGTTGCAAATGCATATCTATATTTTTAAAAAGAAATTAATACTTTTATTAAGAATGCATTAAACTGACCCAAAGTGACAGTAAAGCAAACAAAAATCTATTTTAAAATTATTTTTAGACTTTTAATTTTCAAAGAATCCTGAAAAAAATATCCCAATTTCCACAAAAAGTTTAAGCAGCACAACTTTTTTCAACACTGATAATGATAAGAAATGTTTCTAAAGCACCTAATCAGCATTTTAGCTTGATTTCTGAAGGATCATGTGACATTGAAGATTGGAGTAATGGCTGCTAAAAAAAATGGCTTTGCCATCACAGGAATTAATTGCATTTTACAATATATTAGAAAACTGTTTTTACTTGAGCATAGGAGACATTTCAAAACCATTCAAAGTTATTTCCGACCCCCTTGACACAATATGAAATCAAACTAGCATATCTACAAGTATTTGCATAGAGTTGGATCGATTACATTTCAGGTCTCAGTCTTATTCTACAAACATCTTAGTGGCAAATGAAATTGTGTGGAGGCCATTATGAAGTCATCAATATCAAATCGCCGACTCTTCCTGGAATACACTGGAATACACAGAATCTCCCTCTAGATGGATATACAGATATATTCCACTTCCGTTTCCAGACGGTTTGAGAGTGTTCCCTCTTGTGTGTGGTGAGAGGCAGGAAAGCTCTTGAGAGGAATAAAAGCCTGCTGTGGGGGGTCTGATAATGTGATAATGCAGAGAGCTCCGGGACATTTTGGTCTCACTTGAGACCGAAGGAAACAGCTCGATGTTAACGAGGCAACGTCATTCACCGTAAGGGCCCATTCAATCGGCAAAGCACTTATGACACACATCGTCGGTGCAAAAAGAGACAGAAAATGGCAAATGTGTGCAAACACGCTGGAGCGCAGGCCTAGGTTTACATTCTCTCGCTCCACTTTACAGGGAAAGTAACTGGGTGAGAGCTGGTGGGTGGGGCAGGTGGTGGAGGGCTTATCACAGAGAGATGGGAGGGCGGAGATGTTGGTGAATGCACCTCTTTGTTGGTTCATATTCCGTTTCCACCACAATACTCCAATCCCTGCATCATCAGCTCCATTCAGGGAAAACAGTTAATGCAAATGGCCAGGCCTGCCATTCACTGAGTGTTTATGTGTGTGTGTGTGTGTGTATTGGAGGGGGGCACACTACTAAAAAACTTTTCCTCTAATCCTCTACCTCACAAACAGGACCCTGTCTGCTGCAAGAGTCAAGCATTAGAGCCCCAAGGGTAAGAAGAGCCGCCACACATGCGAGTAACCCGAGACTGGAGACAACCCAAAGCAGATAAACATAAAACAATCTGCCTGAGACTGCTTTATCGGATTATTCCTTCTAAAAATACCCCAAAATGAACTTTATGATGCATATTTAAGCAGCAAACAGCTCAGAGAGCATGATGTTTTCCCTCAGCAGTCCCATGATTAAACCCTCAATGGCCCGATCATTAAAAACACATCCACTGTCAAGTACCTGTGATAGCTAAACGACCCAATTCGGAATTACCATAACATGACGCCGTTGCCGTGGGACATGTGGAAGTCATGCTGGGCTCGAGAGAGAGACAGATGGAGGAACGAGATGATAAAAAACAAGCACTAGACAGAGAGAGGGAGAGAGAGAGAGAGCTGAAAACGAAGCGCCCTGGCCTTTAATGGCTCTTAATGATTGTTTGTTTACACACTAAGCACTGTATCTACAGTAAAGGCCAATGGGACAGAGGTCATGACACTGAGGGTTAGTTACTGGTCAATTAAATACAGCATGTGGAAAGCGCCTAGAAATGCTATCTGTGATTTTTTGCATTGGTCTGCTCAAGTTAAATATTTCATGCCATTAAATTTAGGCCACTGTGACGGCTACTCTATCTCAACGTCCGCCCGCAGAATCCACATCTCACCCCTCTCCCGGATATCAGGTTGTAACATTTGGACTGTGAAACCCATATCTTGATAGTCTCTGGAGTCTGAAGACTGGGTCACCAAAGAACTGACACTCTTGGCCCCTTTCCAAGTGCTCATCTAAGGAGGGAAGCTGACACTACTTGGAATATGCCAACGCAAAACCTAAGACATACAAATTTCACCTTGGTGGTGTGGCTTAGCGCTTTAAACCTCTAGTCTGCCAACTTTAAGATTGTTGCTTTAATACCAGCAGAGGTTATTCATGGACATCGCCACAGTGCCCCAGAGCACTTAACCTCAGGTTGTGCCAAGGGGACTGTCCCTATAAGAAGTGCACTGTACATCTGCCAAATAACTACTCACTGTTGAGTCTGAAGTTTGTGTCACCAAAGAACTGACACCCTTGGCTTTTCTCCAAGCATTCATCTGAAGACGACTATGGCAAGCCATTTTAACAATATCTATTTTTCTGCTTCTGATACTTATTTTTGGACTACTAATAAGTAATCCAAAAAGGAGTAGAATATTTTCAATTTCTCTAATTCCTTACATCACAAGTTTCGAGTTTGCTTTTTTAATTGCAAGATGCAATGACTAGTCAGAATGTCTAGTATATGATCCAATTAATTCTATGAAAATTGTCACAGATACTAGTAGCTGAACTATTTCTAGTAAGCCAAAATTAATATGGATACATAGTGAAACTGGTGAAAATAGGTGCCAGTAGAAATGGGAAAAGGAATAGTTGGCATCTGAAGCAAAAATGCTTGCCACTGCTAAGAAGTACTAGTTTGCAATGAATAATAGGCACCATTACAAAATGTATAGAATGAAAAGTTTTTAATGAAATCTGGAAAAGATGGTAGTCGTTATTGGCTTACTACTAGGGCAGAAACTAGTAGTAACACAGACACTAGTTAGTTTAAAGAGATGAAACGGCTTGTCATGGACATCTGACACTTGCAGTACACTAGAAGAAAACAAACAGTTCACCCTGATGCAGCGCAAAATGCAACAAACTGGCTCACCCGTGATGCTTTCCGCTTGTATTTATTGGCGAAGTCAAATTTCTCCTTAATGTCATCCAGGAGCTGCTCCAGACGTGCTTTCTCCTCTTTCCCCGTGTAATCCGGGCTCAGGAGGACATACGCCCTCCAGTTGGCCGAGTCAAAGCCCCAATGGCAAGTCCTGTTCTCCAGCGATTTGTGACTGTGCACCACGAATTTCTGGGTCGGGTACATGAGCCTGCAGTCCATGCACTGGATGCAGGGCGCGTTGGGACTCGTGTAGAGCTCCGGGACCAGCAGACCCTTACACTTCCCGAAGCACTCGTGATAGATCTTAAAGCTCTTCTCGGTGAGCTCCAGCTCGATGGAGCCGTACAGCTCCTTCTTGGAGTGCGGCGGGTACGTCCCCCCGTAGATGAGCGCGTTGCACAGGCGCTCCGCGTCCGTCTTGGTGATGAGTCCGCAGGACGGCGCGGAGAACGGCAGGATGCCCATCACCTTCAGGATCTCCAGCTGGTCGGCGGTGCAGCGCGAGCAGTAGATGTGCAGGTCGTCGCACACCGAGTTGATCTGCTGGAGCGAGAAATCCCGCAGCACCGTGTTGAGGATCTGCGGCAGGCACAGGCGCTTTTCGCCGCCCACCACGAAGCACGAGATCGTCTCGCCCTCCAGGACCGTCTCGCACCTCTCGGTGGAGCGGTCAGACGGGATGAAGAGCGGCCCGGGCATCACCGGAGGAGGCTGCATGGGGGGGAGGTGCAGCACGGGCTCCGGGACGTCTTTGCAGTCCTTTTTGAAGAGCAGGTCGTGTTGCCATCTGGCCGAGAATGCGGCCGGTCCGCCGAGAGAGCTCATGGAGCTCAGGTGAAACTGTTTGAGAGTTTGTTGCAGTCCCGGGTGAGGCTGGAAACTCTGTCGCGCTACTGTTTCCATGTTTCGCGCACCGCGTTGTCGTTGAAACCGAGCTTCTGGCAAGAAATACGACTCAAAGGTCCTGGTTCCGCGTCTCGAAATCCAAGTCTGTGAAAACAAGCACAAGAAGGCCGATAGGGCTTCATCAAATCCCCGCTCAGACGAAGGTTTCCACCGGCGCGTCTTCTTCCCCTGCAGCGGGCTCTCTCCTGTCCATATCCACAGACAGACGCGTACAGAAAACTCAAGTGTAACACAAGCAAAAGCGCGCAAGTTGCAGCAAAACTATCCCACGGGGGAGCCGAACTTGTCCCAAGTCAAATTCAGGAGTCGAATACACAATCCGTCAACTTTAAATCCGTATTTTTCCCTGCGAGTAGAGATCGCTGCAGCCGGACACGGCGCGTCGCCTCCGCTCCTCTGCCCCTGCAGTTCAGTATGACTGAGTCAGTGAGCACAGTCTCGCTCGCTCTCCCTCTCTCTTGCTCAGTGTTTGTGTGTGTCTGGCTCAGTCATTGAATCCCAGCCAAGAATGTGACTGACTCCGTCCGCAGGCTGTGGCTCTTCCAAGAACCAGCCTTCACTCCCCACTGCTGTAGAGAGACAGTAACTGTACTTATAATATTACTATTTATATTTGTAAACACCTGATCTTTTTATTATTAATGTTTTATTTGTAAACTTTACTTTATTCATAGTAATTTATCACACTACTCTGTTATTTAATTAATTTATTATATTTATTTATGTAATTAAACTTTGATTTATTAGATGCTATTTATTTAATTTATGGACACAGCTTTACTGGCATGATTGTCATCATTTTCAATACTGTCAAAGCCTACAAAGTTCTTAAAATATTAAAATAGACAACACAAAAAATAAATAGGCGAGGTAAATAAACAAATATATGAAATGATGGGAATAATAAAACAAAGTGTCACAGTTTAACAAAACAGCTTAATCTGCTCTGTTATTGTATACTATTTATTAAATTACTTGTCTTCTCAATTTACAATATTGTTAGTTTACTGTTATTGATATTTTGAATAATAAGAGCAGTGGGGGGAGTGATTGTACAGCGCTCTCTCCCACCTTCAATACCACGACTGAGGTGCCCTTGAGCAAGGCACCGAACCCCCAACTGCTCCCCGGGCGCCGCAGCAAAAAAATGGCTGCCCACTGCTCCGGGTGTGTGTTCACGGTGTGTGTGTGTGTGTGTTCACTGCTGTGTGTGTGCACTTTGGATGGGATAAATGCAGAGCACTAATTCCGAGTATGGGTCACCATACTTGGCCACATGTCACTTCGCATTCACTTTTTTTAATACATAGTGCAGATGTATAGGTTTTACCATAAGTATATTAAATTGAAAATTAAGACCCATCATTATGGTATATCAGCATTTTTGTTTCCATCAACTTAACATAAACCATTTTGCTATTTCAATTCTACCATTTCTAGGATTTCAGCAAATTTTTCTTAGTCAATAATTAAATTGAAAACACACATCACAGGTTGTCACGGTGGCACCCATTTTATTTTACTTTAAAAAATAAGCCTGCAATTAAGCCTCAAACAGTTTGTAAAACTGTACATTTGTACAATGAACATTTTAAATGAAAGTCTGAGGGGGGAGGAAATAAGAGCATTTTGCAGGCAGGCAGGCAGGCAGGGCAGTATGTTGTATCAGTGGGTTGATGGGTGGAGTCTGAAACAGATGCTCTAATTTAGACTGACTGCGGTCTGAGTTTGTAAGCTTTGGTTTACCTGAGACTTCTAGACTGAAATGAGTACAGCAGACTGAACTGGGAAAGTACTGGGACTACATGGCTAATAAACACACACATTTCACAATATTTGTATGATATGATAAACCAACTGTAATGTTTTGCCAATAATAGCCTATCAATCAACTGGGTCAAGCACATCAAACAATAATAACATCACTCAATTACATCCTCATTCTCCTCATAATTATGTTTTCATTGTAAATTGATGTCAATTATCTAAAACAATATTCAGTGCCACTATTACAACATCTTGGGTTTATGTCACGCAGACATTCAGCACTATTAATCTGCTAACTTGATATGAATAATACTGTGACCTATATATATTCACCTCTTATTTTTAAATCAGTATATGTATGGATGTTATGACTGTTTGTAAATGGTAATGGGACATATTTCATTCACATTTCCTGTCACACTACAGTGCTGTACATATGCCAATGATTTATTAATAATTCTCTTTAGATTGAGTCCAACGCAAGCATGAAGTCAGTGTAATCTGTTGCAGTAGCGCCCTCTAGCTCCAAGGGGATGTTACTGCAGGTAGATCACAATGGGACAAATGGCCTTGATGCATTGCATCAATTCAACCATTTGCAGAAAAGGTGCAAAATTAGAGAGAGAAAAAATACATTTCAGTCTCTCAAATATAATATAATAATGCACAGGTCAAGATACTTCAGTCTTCAGTGTAAAATTAATTTCACGTGTCCCGCTATGAAAACAAGATTCAATAAAACTGTATAATGTGTATAAATAACATTTGATCTGCATTCACTTTGAGCCAAATGTGTTACCAGTTCTTAATTTCTATACACTGAAAAAAGATTGGTGTAGAAACAATTTTCACTCAGAAATTGTTATTAAAATTCACAATTAATTACAAAAACAGCACTGAAATAGTATTTCTTGTAAAACATACTCCAGTAATCTTTTTATGTTAATGTTAAATGTTTTATTTACAACTTCAAAAGATCTTTTTTTTTTTTACATTGTAGCTTTAGTTTTTCCACAAAAGTCTATAAGCGATCTGATCTTACATCTTCATGATAATGTGATGAGAGAAGGGAATTTCTTTTTAACAGTGCCTTAGATTCCTTCTTTCAAAAGTTTTATTTGGATTTGCGTCATGGATTTTGGAAAAGCCCTGCGAGCTTGACCAAAATATGATCATTAAGTATCTGCTGTCTCTCACATTTTTGCACATATATGGAAATATATTCAAATGGGTGGTGTGAACACGAACTGCTGACCGAAACTCTTTTTGGATGAGTTTTTTTTTGAAGAGCAAAATGCCAAATATTACTCATCCATCATAATGGAGGCACAATCAAAAAATGAATAACATCATAAACAAACTCTTTTCATCCCATTAAGGCTGCTTGCTTTAGACATTTCAGTATTTCTGTCCTTAAAAAATTCATTTTTGTTGGCTACCAACACCAGTTAGAGTCAGAGCAGCACACAAGCTTTATTTAGACAGCCGTAAATAGCAGAAGAGTAGAAAAAAAAAACTATTTATGAAGCTGAGATAGAAATCCACTTTGTGACTATAACAACAGGTTTTTATAAACCAGACCCCTAAAATGCAAATGCATTGGGATTGGTTGTCTTTTGTGTAGGCGTCATGACATGTCTGCAGTAATTACATTGCAGTCAATTACCCATTTAAATTTATGCAGCAACAATTTAAATGGCAGACGCATTACGAATGTTTGCTTTCATGCACTGGTAACAGTGTGGGAATCAGTGAATCAGACTTGCTAATTCATTTATTTTATTTAAAATAAAAATCCAACACACTTGTTTACTCTGAAAGAGATGGACAAAAATGGAACAAAAAAGTGTGAATAATAATATTTGATTTGGTAGGTTGCAATTAAAAGGTTATGAACTGCACTGAGACTGAGGGTGGTTTATGAGAGATTTGGTGTGTGGTTGTTGACAGCCAGTTTTCTCTGCCCAAGCTACACCACCACCCTCTTAACAAACAGGATCAAAATATATCTGGTAGGCTCAGATAAGAAGAAACCAAAGATAAGTGCTGCATTACTGCCATTTATTCAGCTTTTAAGAAGCAGAATTATATGCAGTGATACATGCTGATGTTTTGTAAAAACACAGATTAGTGGTGGGCATAAGTCTCTCTTTCTCAGCACTGCCAGTGCAACCTGTGCCAGCTGTCTGACAAGTCAAACCCATCAGAGCCGTGACCTTTTTGAGAAAGGGCAGACCTGCGGCTTAATCATTCTGGTGAGAGGCCATGCCCACATCTCTCCCCGGAGCCGGAGACGCAACTCCTCCGGTTACATACTGGCAGCTTGGCAGGGCAGAGGTTTGGTAACAGATACTGGCTGAGAAGATCTCTGTCAGACTCATTTTGTGAACAGTGTCTTAGGTGATGTCTTTTTGTATTAGTTTTTGTAAAAGTTAGATAATACTTCCTACTAACTCAGCTTAATATGCAACTTCAGGCAAGCAAATTATGTGGCTTTGTGGTGCTGTCAAAACATTGCTAAAATTGCTAACGCTACCAATGCAGAGTTTGGTGGTGTGAAAAAATACGTAATCATGTCTCCATATGTGATGACGTAAAAAGAACCAATGAATCTGCTATTTGAGATGATTAATTGAAACAAATAATTCAAAACAATGATGCAGACATCTCATCGCTATTTTGAGCCGTCTGCCACAGCAACATGGCACAAATAACGGCTGAGCTATTGATTTAGCGAACCAATAGACTTAGTCAGGTTAGATTGCATATAGCGTGGATGAAAATGAGGCTGTGAGGGATAGACTTACAGTCTTTACAATGGCATCCACTGTATAAAGGTCATAGATCATGTCATTACAACTTCCAAAACTGTTATGGAGTTTTTGTCTATTAAAGAAACAATCGTATGTCTGTGGCAGAAAAGGAAAGTGTTCAGGAAACCTGTTATTAATTGTGAAATTCTGTTTGGAGGCACTAGTGATGCAAAAAAAAAAAAATACACTTCCCTTTTAAATTTCACCCAAAAATGAAAATTCTGTTATTGTACACTCTACAAAACAATTCTGTTCATTTAAACTTGGAAGCGCTGCAGGGATGATATAGTTTTATAGGCCAAAATCTGGAAATGAGTTGGTATTTTAACATTTCCAATTCCACCATCAAAAAGTCAATGGGTTTTTTGAAAAGGTTCTTGGTTAAATGCATGAAATAACGTCTGTGGTGAACACAAGCTCAAGATATTTTCACATTTTAGTCTATGACATAAAATAAATCAGTAATTCCTCCTTGTGTTTTTTTAAATAGCTTTTACTCTTCATGAAAAAGACGGTTGCTAACAAATGCATAAATTAAAATTAAAATTCAGCATGCCAAACAAATTCATCTACTCACTAGTCTGCTTTCACCGCCTCATTGTGTTTATAATCACACTCTTGAAAACTATTCTAAATATTCTGACTTTTTTTTTTAAATAAAGACTGACAGTGTTATTGAAAGCTTAATGGTGGTGATGTTTCTGAAGATTTTCATAATGAACAAAGCATGTATGAATCAAGTCAAACCCATCAGAGCCGTGACCTTTTTGAGAAAGGGCAGACCTGCGGCTTAATCATTCTGGTGAGAGGCCATGCCCACATCTCTCCCCGGAGCCGGAGACGCAACTCCTCCGGTTACATACTGGCAGCTTGGCAGGGCAGAGGTTTGGTAACAGATACTGGCTGAGAAGATCTCTGTCAGACTCATTTTGTGAACAGTGTCTTAGGTGATGTCTTTTTGTATTAGTTTTTGTAAAAGTTAGATAATACTTCCTACTAACTCAGCTTAATATGCAACTTCAGGCAAGCAAATTATGTGGCTTTGTGGTGCTGTCAAAACATTGCTAAAATTGCTAACGCTACCAATGCAGAGTTTGGTGGTGTGAAAAAATACGTAATCATGTCTCCATATGTGATGACGTAAAAAGAACCAATGAATCTGCTATTTGAGATGATTAATTGAAACAAATAATTCAAAACAATGATGCAGACATCTCATCGCTATTTTGAGCCGTCTGCCACAGCAACATGGCACAAATAACGGCTGAGCTATTGATTTAGCGAACCAATAGACTTAGTCAGGTTAGATTGCATATAGCGTGGATGAAAATGAGGCTGTGAGGGATAGACTTACAGTCTTTACAATGGCATCCACTGTATAAAGGTCATAGATCATGTCATTACAACTTCCAAAACTGTTATGGAGTTTTTGTCTATTAAAGAAACAATCGTATGTCTGTGGCAGAAAAGGAAAGTGTTCAGGAAACCTGTTATTAATTGTGAAATTCCGTTTGGAGGCACTAGTGATGCAAAAAAAAAAAAAATACACTTCCCTTTTAAATTTCACCCAAAAATGAAAATTCTGTTATTGTACACTCTACAAAACAATTCTGTTCATTTAAACTTGGAAGCGCTGCAGGGATGATATAGTTTTATAGGCCAAAATCTGGAAATGAGTTGGTATTTTAACATTTCCAATTCCACCATCAAAAAGTCAATGGGTTTTTTGAAAAGGTTCTTGGTTAAATGCATGAAATAACGTCTGTGGTGAACACAAGCTCAAGATATTTTCACATTTTAGTCTATGACATAAAATAAATCAGTAATTCCTCCTTGTGTTTTTTTAAATAGCTTTTACTCTTCATGAAAAAGACGGTTGCTAACAAATGCATAAATTAAAATTAAAATTCAGCATGCCAAACAAATTCATCTACTCACTAGTCTGCTTTCACCGCCTCATTGTGTTTATAATCACACTCTTGAAAACTATTCTAAATATTCTGACTTTTTTTTTTAAATAAAGACTGACAGTGTTATTGAAAGCTTAATGGTGGTGATGTTTCTGAAGATTTTCATAATGAACAAAGCATGTATGAATCAAATCTTTTTTGGTCACAGAGCTTATTTTCTGCATCATCCAAAAGCCAAAGGAAAAAAATCATATTGGGTTTTGGTCAGGGAACTTCCAGGTTGATCTACAAAAAACAATCACTGCAGCTCTATTCAGATCAATATAATAATTTCACAGTAGTGATAAACGGTGTGCAAATAGCCCCACAGCAATACACATTAATGTATTCATGTAAGCAAATGGACATAATTCTCACAAATGGCAATTGATACAGACACGTTGCATGGCATAATTTAGTTAATCACGTCAACAAAAAAAAAAACACTGACATATCATAACTAAAAGATATTGAAAAAGAGACCTCTGAGAATTCCTAAATTTGATTTTCAGGGGATCTCATGTGACATTCAGGGAATTTCAGTTTTCCAACACCGTGGATTTGTCAAAAAAGCTAGACCGAATTAAACATCTTCTCCAGCACATTAGCCATTCTTTAATCTCATCTCTCTCTTTCCTTTTTTCCCTTTGCCACCTCACACTTCTTCCACAGTGCATTGAGAAAGCTTGCTTTTGGAAGGACTTGGGCAGCGCCAGCTATTTTTATAGTTTTGATCATTCATCAGGCAACCATGGCGACGGCTCACAACATTGCCTCACACAAGTCCTAATGACATAAGCGCTCTTTCCTGGATGCCGTCTCCCCGGCTCCATCCCTGAACAGACTTACTCAAAACTCATCTGCTATTGTACTCTCTTACTGTGTGGCTATGGAACCATCAGTGTCAGCATTAGAACCTTCTGGAATTCTCATCCAGAGGAGAGAAACGGTTCCAAACCTTGCCTCAGCCTCTCCAGAGTTCAGAGGCAGAGGCACCTCGTATGGATCATTTATTTCGGTGGTGGCCACCAGAAACCACCTCTTAGTTTTTTTCCCCCTCCATATGTTCCTTCATAATGCAGTGACGTTGAGAGTATGCATTCGTGGGTTTCTTCCATCCCTACATAATCACCGAACGGTTATTTCCAGTTATAGTGCTTGTGTAGGCTATTTTTTATCCTTAAGATCCCAATATCATCCCAATACTATCAATTTGAATCTGATAAATTTGTCAACCAGGATAGATTATTTTATTCTCAAAGAGAGAAGATTCCTAGAGCAAACAATTAACAACAAAAAATGGAAGTTAGTCTAACTGTTGATTATGTGCAACCTTCTCACTAGATCATTTTTATCATTTTGTTGACATGACTACTTTACATATAATATTGTTTAAGCAACAACAACACACACACACACACACACACACAATACTAATAATTATTTGCATTTTTACATTTGCACACCAACACTGCATTCAGGTATACATTTTAGAGAAGAAGACGATGAATGCACTGTCTGCATGTAGGCTATGTGTATGGATGCTTTGAAAACATTAGGCTACACCAATAAAGTAGCCGCCTAATAACAATGATGTTGAACTGAATAAATGAATTAATAAAGCATAAGCATTTCCTTAAGCACATTAGTAAGCCCTTAACGTACATCTTTTATTTTAAAAACAAATAAACAATGCAAACTCCATGTCGTACATTTCAGCAACGAAATTTCATGCGAACTGCGCAATCAGTGCGCAGCTTTAACGCAAAAAAAACTTTTGTGACCAAACACGGAAGTAGTTCAAAGAAACTCCCGCGTAGTTTTCATTGTTTGGATAAGCCATGTGCGTTTGATGGAGATGCAGTGTGTTTACAACCGAATGACTGCGATGTCTAAACTAAAGAGGAAGAAATCAGCGATTGAGGAGAGTAGATGTGAGCAGCAGACGACGATCAAAAAGTCAAATGGCAGTCTGAGTGCAGAACAGGACAGCAGCTGCAGCAAAACATCTACAGGCAGGTACGAAGTCTAATGTCACGGCAGTTAATACTCAACGAATGAAGCTCTCTTCATACTGTAATATAATATAATATACATTTCTGTACCATATTGTAACGATATTTTGACGTAATATTATTTTCTGTTGAATCCTGCAGGGTGAGATGGTGGGAGAGTTCTGAATTAAGTGATGTGGAGAGACTCTGGGCTCTTACCTTGAGAGCTTTTTGCCCAGCCCTGCAGTCTGATCAGGAAGAATGTATTCCACAGCTCCCCCCACCTTCACCCACGGTAATAGATCAGCTTATCATCAATGGTTATCATGGAAGAAGGAGGGGCTCTGTGTTTGTAGATCTGTTTGGAGTAGTTAGGAGGTTCAACATGCCGTATTTAATATACATTGTAGTATTTATTGAGTCTCATGCATGACCCTATTTCATATAGTATGAATAATTCCTGCATTTTGTCCTGAAATGGATGTTGGATGCAAATCGACACTGTAAGTCTAGAGATGACCTTATACCGTCACTTCCTAAACACTTCATTCCCTTCACCAAAATGTCACTTACGAGTTACCAATAATATATCACTGTCTTTAAAAGCAGGACCCACCCTCTAACTCTGAGACCTTGAATCTCAGATTTTCCTCTGTACATGGGAAAAGTAGGCTCGATGTTATTTTCCATGGAGATGAGAGGATGGACAGTACTGAATTGTCCTTTCCAGAATTGGCAACAAGGCTGTGGTGTGTTGTCCTGGGCAACATGTTTATTTAATAAATGACATTTTCCATGAAATGGGTCCACTTTGGTGTCTCATTACTTAAAAACACAACAAATTACATTTGAGGTACAAATCCCAAACCGTTAAAATCATAAAGCAATATCAGAATTTTATTTTAAAATATTTAATTAAGTCTGTTGATTGTATTTAATTAAATTTTATGGACATAAAATACATTTTAAATTATATTTTATGGAAAACAAATATTTACTAGAAATTATTTAGTTTTAAATTGGACATTTTGGTATCAGGTTTACAAAAATTATATTTTATATTCAGTTTTTCCATATAAATATATAATATGTAGTTTAATCTCCTGATGGTGACAATCAACATTTTCTGAAGGTAAATAAGCACCTCCTGTCATTGACCTTTTTAATAGTATTTCTTTAGTAATTCTATGTAATAATTTGTTCCCTTTAAATAATAATTTGTTGCCAAATAAACAATTTCCTTATCTTTAAAAATGTATACAATGTTAAAAAACAAAACATGAATGTCTCTTTGTTTTGTTTTTTTGTTGAAAAATATGCAAATATAATGGTTTTCTGGCATAAGTTGTTTTTCCACTGTCTCTCTGTCACATGTCAGTTTGGGTTTAGATGTGTTTGCTGTCATGACTTCATACTTTTATTTGGCTGTTCTTCAGAACCACTAACAAAGCTGGTATCCAAACAGCACATTTTGTGTAAAATGTGTATATTATGTTGCTAAAGGAAGCATCTAATTTAATTTAGCGTGATAATTTGTGTAATACAGTGTGATTAATCTCGATTTCTTCAGAAAACTCCTGTACAAAAAGTAAGTGATTGGAGGTGGTGCAGTGCAGATGAAGATGTTAATCCCCCTCCGGATTTGCCCGCTCCGTCTTTCCTCAACAACCCACAACCAGTGAATGAGGTCAAGAACCCTTCACAACCTCCAGCAGCAGAGAACATGGGAGAATGTAGTCCACCAGCCATCGCTGATCAAGAGAATCATGCATCTTCACCTGATCAGGAGAGTGTGTCAGTATGTGACGTACAAACTGTTCAGCAGCGCCACCTAGAAGACAAAGTCAATTGCGTTGAGGGTCATGAATTGTCAGACGAACAGAGTGACAAATTTGACCAAGTGGGGAAAGTCTCAGAAACGCATGAAGTCACAAGAGGATCTGGAGCAGGATTGGATGTGGAATCTGGAGCAGGGAAGGGGGCAAAAGCAGGTGCAGGAGGATCTGGATCATGGTTAAGAACAATATCTGAAGCAGAAGGATTGGTATCAGGCATGGGAACAAATCAAGGAACAGGTGGATCTGGATCAGGGCAGAAAGCAAAATCTGGAGCAGGTCAGCGAGCAAAATCAGGAGTAAGAGGATCTGGATTGGTGCTGGGAGCAAAATCTGGAGTGGGATTGGATGCAGAATCTGGAGCAGGGAAGGGGGTAAAAACAGGTGCAGGAGGATCTGAATCATGGTTAAGAACAATATCTGAAGCAGAAGGATGGGTATCAGGCATGGGAACAAAACAAGGAACAGGTGGATCTGGATCAGGGCAGAAAGCAAAATCTGGAGCAGGTCAGCGAGCAAAATCAGGAGTAAGAGGCTCTGGATTGGTGCTGGGAGCAAAATATGGAGTGGGATTGGATGCAGAATCTGGACCAGGGAAGGGGGTAAAAACAGGTGCAGGAGGATCTGGATCACGGCTAAGAACAATATCTGAAGCAGTTTCAAGCATGGGAACAAAACACGGAGCAAGTGGATCTGGATCAGGGCAGAGAGCAAAATCAGGGCTAGGAGGATTTGAGTCAGGGCTGGGAACAAATTCAAGAGAAAGTGGACCTGGATTGGGGCAGGGAACAACATCTGGATTGAATTTGGGGAAAAAATCAGGGACAGAAGAATCTGGAGCAGCATCTGGATCAGGACTGGGAACAAAATTAATAGCAGAAGGATCCGGAACAGCAACTGGTTCAGGACTGGGAACAAAATCAGGAGCAGAAGGATCTGGAGCAGCATCTGGATCAGAACTGGGAACAACATCCGGAACAGAAGGATCTGGAACAGCATCTGGATCAGGACTGGGAACAACATCCGGAACAGAAGGATCTGGAGCAGCATCTGGATCAGGACTGGAGTGCTGCCCAATGTGTCTGATGCCATTTCCTGCAGGGTGAGTGAACATTTCATATAAATAGGTCAAAAAATCCACAAAGTTGATTGATTTCACAATGCAGAACCAAAGATGACAACAATATCAATAGCATGTAATGCTTCAACAACCCAAAATGTCACATTGCACGACTGCCACGAAATATCCAATGCATAACATCTACAATATCCCAACATTCCTCAGTTTGGTATTGCTTTTGGCAGCTGAATGGCCAGCTAAGTTTGAGCAAATAATCCAATTAGAAATCGTTGTGAATAAAATTACACTTGTATTACAAAAGTTCTTTTTTTCTTCTTCCCTCAAGTTCTCATTTCTCAGAAGCCCATTAAAAAGTCTCCGAATTCAGGTGTTTTGCAGAACAGCAACTCAAGTGAGGATGCAGGGGGTGTGATCTGCTCTCACTGTAGAGTAAGATGCATGTTCTGGAACAGCAGAGAGTAGAAGACTGAGATCAGCTTTGGCACTAGAGATGTTTAGCTGACTCTTTAGGTAAAGCCAGAACATACATGCGCTCACTCTCATGAACCCCTTGGCAAAACCGCTTCACTAGGCTGTAAGATGAAGTGTTGGTGGATAGAATCATGCATTCTATCACCTCTTTCAAACGGCCAAAATAAAATTAGTCATTTGCTGGAGAAAGACATTTTATTTTCCCTAAAGGAAATGTATTTGAGTGTTTGCGCCTTGGGTGCTGGTGGAGCGCTGCGAGATGGATATCACAGCCACGCTTATGTAACTCACTTCTGGATGTGATGTCATCGCTGCAGATGTAGAGCAGAGGATCCAGTTCAGATGGGATTTATATTTATTTGATGCTTTATGAACACTTGTTTCTTTATTTTGATTGATGAGCATAGCAACGTTTAGCAGCTGTTTTTGTTGTTTTGTAGTATGAAGTATGCAAAGTATTACACAACACATAACATTGAATTCTGGGACTTAAACAGTAATGAGGTAGTACAGTGATTGTTTCGGATGGAAATACCCTGCTACTTTATGGCAAGCAATTTAAAAATCAGTCTGCATTTTGAGAATGATGAGTTTTGTTATTTGGGTTGTTTAAATAGAATTACTTTTGGAAAGTTGATCTAAATCGGGCAAAGTTGACATCTTACAATGTAACATGATTTAAAATGCATTTTTTTCTTATATAATTACACGATTTTTAGTTCTTATTAATTGAGAGACTACATGGAATGTATGTACTTTTAATCTTTTTATACAAGTTATTTATATAAAGATAAAGTACAAAAAATAGTTTTTGACACTTTGCAGATCCACTTACAGTATAATCTAGTTTAATGCTATTTTAGAAATTCACAAATTGAAGTTAAAAGAGTTTAATGTTCATTGTTAATTCACGTTTATTCGTAATACATAAACTAATGTTAATTTTGTTACACAGTAAGGTCTTATTTGTTAACATTGGTTAATGTATTAACTAACATGAACTTACAGTGAGCAATATTTTTTCCAACATTCAATAATCTAGAAATGCAATAGTTCATTGTTTGTTCATGTTAGTTCAAAGTGCATTAAGCATGTTTAAAAAAATACAACTTTTAGTTTTACATTTTATTAGTAAATGTCGAAATTAACATTAAGACTAATAAATGCTGTAGAATTATTGTTTGTTCATTGTTAGTTCATGTTAACTAATTTTAACTACTGTTAATTTGAAATGTTAAAATATATGCAGACGTTAACTTGAACCTACATTAATAATTGTACAAAAATATATATTTTTTGTCAGTTCGTGATTAATGCATATAATACTTAACCTATGAAAACAAATTGAACTTGATTGCAGATTCATATACTTTTAAAGCTAAAATCTTGATGTTGAATTAAAAAACTCAATGGAACTGTTATATATCCTGTAAATTCATATACCAGTGCTACAGGCTTTTATAGGTGTCATTTTCCCCTTGCTGTCATCTTTACCCAATGCCAACTCTCCAAAAAGGCTGTTTATGAATCTTTCTGCCCGTGAACTTTGGAGCACTTCTCAGAAAGAGGAAACACTATGTTGAAACACGGCGACTGTGAGTGTACTTAAAGAGAGGAGGAAGAGAAAGTCTAAGAAGGACAGTTATTCATCAAAACGGGTCAAAAAGTCACCAGATTCTTGCGAGGTCTGAGAGCAGCGCTCCTTCGGTGTGGTGGGCAGCACCGAACCTCGCAGAACAAGGCAGCACTTTGTTGTGAGCGCAGGGCTGGCGTGCGCCGCTGCCCGCTCTCTGCCCGCCGTGTGTACATTGGCCAGACTGCGGAGCACAGCAGAACACAGGCGGGCGGCCCCATGAGAGAGACACAATGAACGCTCTTGTCTAGGGAAAGACGGATAGAGAAACAGGCAGATATAGAGAGCGAGTTTCCGAAGCGTCGATACGAGCCGAGGGCAAGACTGGTGAAGAGATGGAAATCTTGATGGAGGGAATCAGGGGTGGGTTGGCACGCGTAGATTCGCAGAATGGTTTTGAGGTTTGCTGCTGGGAAGCATCAAGCCGTCTGGGTTGGAAAAGGGATTAGAGAGGAAAGGAAGAAGTACTGAAGGGAAAGGGAACACAAACAAATGAATGCGCCTTGAAATGAGTGGCGTTTGGGGAGGAGGAAGGATCTGTCGGTCATTGGAAAGTCAAATTTGAGACCTGGTGGCCTCGCAGTTTATGTGTGCTCGTTAGCCGACGGCTTACTACAACAAACTATTCCTCGGTGGATAACACATAAGTAAATTACTATAAATGGAGTTATTCACTTTGCTGTATCTGCTACTATAAAATACTACAAAAAAAAGCCAGTGAAAAATCTTCAATCCTAGAAAAAGTGCATGAATTCTAACAGTGATGTTTTAGCAAATGCATGTTAAGAATTGTTGGATACCAAGAGGAAATCTGATATGAGAAGCATAAATTATTGAAGCGTTTCCAGATAAATGCTTTTTGAGTGATATCAGGGGATCAGCTACATTGTAAACAGCATCTCTACAGTCCAAAACTTACATCAACATGCATTATTCCCAAATTGTTTTTTTGAGCGACAGTGAGGGATCAATAACTTATCATGACTCAAAAATCTTATTTTGTTTCCAAAACTGCTCATTGTGCAAGAGAGAAACGGTCTTGCTGTAGCACCCTTGTGTTTGGGTTTACAAACCACGTATTACTGGAACGAACACTGATTTCTCTTTAGTTATTGCATGTTGGATTGTGTGTGTGTGTTTGTGTTGCTCACTATTGTTAAAAACGGGTTTTGTTTTTTTCAGGTTCACCCAAATGCAATGTGATGGTCATCTCGCACAATGTTTATCAGAGATGCATGAAGATATTATTTGGTGATGATGAGGAAATTATTTTAGATACTTGTGTTTGCCTTTATGAGCTTGCAAAGTATTACTTTAATGTTTTGATTACTGTAAACAGAAGACCTGGAAAGGAATAGATTTGCTGAAAATGTACTCGTCCTCAGAGCAGGCCATCCAAGATGTAGATCAATTTGTTTCTTCATCAGAACAGATTTGGAGATATTTAGCCATAGGTCTATTGCTCATCAGTGGATCCTCTGCAGTGAATGGGTGCCGTCAGAACGAGAGTCCAAACTTCTGATAAAAACATCACAATAATCCACAAGTTTAAACACTCATTCTGACGGCACCCATTCACTGAAGAGAACTGTGAGCAAGTGATGTAATGCTAAACTTCTCCAAATCTGTTGAGATGAAGAAACAAACTTGGATGGCCTTTTCACTTTTGGGTGAACTATTCCTTTAAATACTTCTTATAACATATGATTGATAAATATGCATTGTGCAATAAAGACAGTGCTCTCTCACAGACCAGTGTTTTTCTTTTCTTTTCTTTTTTCTCCACACCCAGAAATCATGAGACAGGAAATGTGAAGTCAGTACAATGAACATTTACTGATTTACAGTTGTTATCTAAGATGCTTAAGACTTAACTTCATAAAACCAAAGACATGTTCACATCTCTCTCTCCCACCCTCAGCCCACAGAAACTCTACTAGAGCTTTCATTTACAATCATTTATAAAACAAACACTTCAAATATAAAAGTATTCCCCTGTAGCACGTTGATAAGAGCGTCCCCTTGCTCTGGACTCAACGGAAGGAAAGAACCAAAAGAGAAAGAAAAGCAGAAAACAGCTTGCGACAGCTTTTGTATTTGGCAAGTTGATAAATAATGGAAATGTCTTGCTTAAAATGTTTTCAGGGACAGGAACTTGTATTTTATTGCAGTCTTGGGGTCTAAGTTTGAGACTAGCGGCTGGGACACTGGATTCAGATATCTTATATTGATGCAGAAACAGATTTATTTCTTTTTTTCTGTGAAAATTTTAAGGGTTAAATTACAGATATTTACAATTATGCCAAACTCATTCCAGTTCAAATATAAACATGAATAAAACCCCAACAAAGGACAATCATAAATCTTGACACTATTGGGTTCTGTACATTGGCTCAAGCTGGTGGAAAATTAAGTTGTTGGTCGGATGAAGACGATTTATTACTTGGTCCTTTGTAATATACCATAGTACCTGTTTTTCATACAGTTTGTAAAAATAATCATTGGTGTACAGGAATGAAAATCAAGCAAATTTTGTGTAGGACCATCTTTACCTTAAAAACCGGAAAATCTGCACTAGCAATGGCCCTGTCAAACTATACAGTTTGCATTCACCTGAAGTTGCTGACACAAACAATCATTCATAAATAGTGGAGTTCTTCAAAATTTTGTGCCTGTTTTTGTACCAGCTTTTCATTAGAGAGCTGAAAACACGGTGGCTTTGCTCTCTGCCTCGTTATCGTTACGTTCGTCACGCTTGTTATCTCCCGGGCCGTTCTTTGTTCTTAGCCCGTCTGCTAATCTCGCTACTGTCTGACACAAAAGCAGCTAATTAATCCTGTTAACATGGCAGGAATTCTTCATACAGGTCTGATTTCATCAAAGTGTTCACATCTAAGAGTGTCGTCTTCACTCTTCAGGAAAAGGGGGGAATAAAAAACCCAAAACTTGGAGATTAAATGCAATGGAAGATAGAAAACATATCTAGTTGCTTAATAACACAATACCTTATCACTGTGAGGGATTAATCAGTCAAGCTAGCCTGTGATTGGCTGTTTTTCTCTTTAAAGGGAAATTACGGATTTTGAAGTTCATTTTTAAGAGCTTTTTTGTGTGGCCTGGAATTTAAATAGACATGGTTTAGTTGTGTGTAGGGGTGTACAGCTATTAGCATGCTATTCTCACGATCTCTGCAGTATGTATACTGTGCACAGTATGCATGGGATACCCAGATGACCTACTACATTTGCCAAGACACACACAGCGCAGAATAACATATCCCATAATGCAATACACACAACTTGACTTTCCATTTCCAACTCTTTTTTTTTTTTGGCTTACTATTTTGTCTAACTGTAAACACTCACAGCATTTTTACACAAAATTGATTTTAAAATACAAAATAGTCATTATTAGTTGCTTATATGCAACATCACAATGTAACGTGACGGTGTAGCTTACTAATGTCTGAAAAGTGTTTATCATTGAATATTGACAATCATTTCACCTACTATTAATAAAAATAGTAGACAGAATACAGTATATTCTACAAGTACAGTAGTAGGCTAGAACTCCATTCCGAACACAACCTGTCACTGAATGATACAAGATTAGCATTCTGCGCTAACTGTGTTTGATATTAAGTTTTGCAGTGGGTTAAATTTAAGCATCTGACTGCGACTTCCACCATGCGTTTAGGTCATCTGAGATTCAGTCACATCACTGTTGCACAATCTTTCCACCACACAACACCAGCGACATGACGTACAAACCCTTGTTTGTGTTCTCTCGCTCTCCACAACGTCTCAACAGCACGTTATTGACAGATCACATGAGTACAACAACATAAAACCCTCGTATCAGAGTGAGGAGCAGCCATTTTAGTAATATAGTGTGCGGTTGTATTGAATTCTACTGTAATAATAAACCCAGGCTCATTGGAAAAAACGTGCCTATGGCGACATTTATGCAAAATTATATTATGTTGTTTTTGAATGTTTCATGACACTTTCAACGTGAAATGCTAAAAGTGCATTCCGTTTTATCCGAGATAGATGAATGTAAATCTGGCAGCATTTTATGTTGGTTGCTTTTTTGTAATGTGGTGGTTCGGAAATGAAATTTCCGGTGACGTTAATGCTCTATTGCATTTGAAAATAACGTACTGACCCTAAACCTAATTAAAGCAAACGTGAGTGATTTTAGCTAGCTTCTACAAGTCTTTAAGCTCTTTTATTGTGACTTGTGCAATGCTGTACCGGGTGAGCTACCGAGCAAGTTTACTATGTGGGAAAAACCATACATATGCGGTAGGTTATGTGGTACAAATTTAAAAATGTGTTACAAATCATGCACCATAAAAGTGTTTTGAGGTCATAACATAGTATTGTGCAAGGAACTGTGCAAAAAAAGTCCTTATTAATTAGTAATCTGCCCCATAACCATAATTTGCACAAAAACATGGATAGAGGAACGTTTTTCCAATAAACCTAGGTTGGTTATATTGCTGCCGGTCTGATGTATTTGGGCTTTGTGATCATTCAGTGTCTAACTTTAGTGTTTTGTTTCAACATATGCATCAGTGTGTTTGTGTTATGTAAATAATAATAATAACACCTGCAGCCCACTTTCTCATTGGATGGTGCAACCAACTCCAATCTAACGTGGAGTTCAGAGCAGTTTGGAGCATGGTGAATTTTGGATCTTTGAGGCACTTCTTCAAAAAACACATTTTATCTCCCATTTACTCTATAAAACCAACATGGGTGGTTAAAAGCTTGCGGTTTGAAGCACAGCTACCCACTGTGGATGAAACCATCATGGTCATGAATTAAAATGTGCCACTTTGCATCATAGAAGGCATCATAAATTCTTCGATTGGTTACCTACACTATAAATACAACATTTTTTTTTACCTTTAAACATTATACATTCTTGTTTAGCTTGAGGACGAGCCTCATACACGATTAAAGAGAATCCCAAAAAAAATCGAACAAAATAAAAGTGCACATTAAAGGGACAGTTCACACAAAAATGAAAATTTGATGTTTATCTGCTTACCCCCAGGGCATCCAAGATGTAGGTGACTTTGTTTCTTCAGTAGAACGCAAACAAAGATTTTTAACACAAACCGTTGCAGTCTGTCAGTCTTATAATGGAGGTGAATGGGAATCACGGCTTTGAGAGTAAATGTGCCACTTTGCATCATAGAAGGCATCATAAATTCTTCGATTGGTTACCTACACTATAAATACAACATTTTTTTTTACCTTTAAACATTATACATTCTTGTTTCGCTTGAGGACGAGCCTCATACAAGATTAAAGAGAATCCAAAAAAAAATCGAACAAAATAAAAGTGCACATTAAAGAGACAGTTCACACAAAAATGAAAATTTGATGTTTATCTGCTTACCCCCAGGGCATCCAAGATGTA